ATCAACGTGTTACAATGCAGAAAGAGTTAAAAATTTCTTAAAAGAAGCAAAGCTTACTGATCAATTACCTTTAATCATTGTGTGTGATCGATTTAATTTTGTACACGATCTTGTGTTATATTTATATAGAAATAATTTACAAAAATATATTGAGATTTACGTACAAAAAGTGAACCCATCACGTCTCCCAGTTGTAGTTGGTGGACTTCTTGATGTAGATTGTTCAGAAGATATAATCAAAAATCTTATACAAGTTGTAAAAGGAGAATTCTCTACAGATGAATTGGTAGAAGAAGTAGAGAAGCGTAACCGTCTTAAACTATTGTCATCTTGGTTAGAATTACGTGTTCATGATGGTAGTGAAGAACCTGCAACTCATAATGCTCTTGCTAAGATTTATATTGACAGCAACAACAATCCAGAAAGATATTTAAAGTATATTGTTACAATTTTATATATAGTAATAAACAATTACTAATAAGTATTTCCATTTTTTTTCTTATAGAGAAAACAAGTTTTATGATAGCCGCGTGGTCGGCAAGTATTGTGAAAAGCGTGATCCACATTTAGCATGCGTTGCTTATGAACGAGGAAAATGTGATTTGGAATTAATAAATGTTTGTAATGAAAATAGTCTTTTCAAATCTGAAGCTAGATATTTGGTGAGACGTCGTAACCCAGAGTTGTGGCTAGAAGTATTGAATGAAAATAATGTCTATCGTCGTCCACTCATTGATCAAGTTGTACAAACAGCTTTATCTGAAACTCAAGATCCTGAAGATATATCAGTAACTGTAAAAGCTTTTATGACTGCTGATTTGCCCAATGAACTGATTGAACTATTAGAAAAGATTGTATTTGATAACTCATTATTCAGCTCTCATAGGTAAGTATAAATTGCCAGTCAATTTTTTCGAATTTCAAATGYAATAATAATTTTTAATTTGTTTTTCATATGATTTCAGAAACTTGCAAAATCTGTTGATTTTAACAGCTGTTAAAGCTGACCGAACTCGTGTTATGGATTATATTAATCGTTTGGACAATTATGATGCTCCTGATATTGCATCCATCGCTATTAACAATGAACTATTTGAAGAAGCTTTTGCAATATTTAAGAAGTTTAATGTTAATCAATCTGCCATTCAAGTAAGATCTTGTAAATATAACTTTGGTTTGGAAATACCTTAAATTTAATTATCTGTKTTTTTTAATTAGGTACTCATTGATAATGTTAAAAATCTTGATCGCGCTTATGAATTTGCTGAACGATGTAATGAACCAGGTGTTTGGAGCTTATTGGCAAAATCACAACTCCAAAGTATGTTCGTCAAAGAAGCTATCGATTCGTTCATTAAAGCTGATGATCCAAGTGCATACATGGATGTTGTTCAAACTGCACACAAAACAGGTATTTGTTTAATTTATATTATTTTGGTACAAATAATTTACAACTTGGTATGAATGATTCATTAATATATTTTTGTCTTGATTATAGGAAGTTGGGAAGATCTTGTACGTTATTTGCAAATGTCGCGYAAGAAGGCTCGTGAATCTTACATTGAAAGTGAATTGATCTATGCTTATGCCAAAACAAATCGTCTTGCTGATCTTGAAGAATTTATTTCTGGACCAAATCACGCTGATATTCAGAAGGTTATTATTATTATTATTATTTTTTTTTTTTGATGCTTCATTATATAGCATATTATATTAATTATATAATCATTTATTTTACAGATTGGTGATAGGTGTTTTGAAGACAAAATGTATGAACCAGCTAAGCTGTTGTATAACAATGTTTCAAACTTTGCACGGTTAGCTATTACTCTTGTACATCTTAAAGAATATCAAGGTGCTGTCGACAGTGCCCGTAAAGCTAATAGCACAAGAACATGGAAAGAAGTGTGTTTTGCATGTGTTGATAATAATGAGTTCAGATTAGCTCAAATGTGTGGTCTTCACATAGTTGTTCATGCAGATGAATTAGAAGACTTAATTAACTACTACCAAGTAATATTATATAAAGAATACATTTTTAAAATTATTATGWTATGTAAAAATATGCTTTTTWTATCCATTTAGGATCGTGGTTATTTTGAAGAACTTATTAATCTTCTTGAAGCAGCACTGGGATTGGAACGTGCACATATGGGAATGTTTACAGAATTGGCTATTTTATACTCTAAATATAAGCCAGCTAAGATGAAGGAGCATTTAGAACTCTTCTGGTCTCGTGTTAATATCCCCAAGGTGTTACGAGCTGCTGAACAAGCACATTTGTGGTCAGAATTAGTATTTTTATATGATAAATATGAAGAATATGATAATGCGGTATTAGCTATGATGAATCATCCAACTGAAGCATGGCGAGAGAGTCATTTTAAAGACATTATTACAAAGGTATAAAAAAAATTGTGTTACAACATACATGTTTGTTTTTTCTAAAGGAATAACTATTGACTTGTTTATCAGGTTGCTAATTTAGAATTATATTACAAAGCAATACAGTTTTATCTTGATTATAAACCGCTTCTGCTCAATGACTTATTGTTGGTGTTGACACCACGAATGGACCACACTAGAGGTGTTGCCTACTTCACTAAGGTACTGTAGTCTCAATGTATTATTGATTTTATTTAATTATAATTGTTTTTTTATATTTAGACCAATCATTTGCAATTAGTCAAAACCTACTTGCGTTCCGTGCAATCTTTAAATAATAAAGCTATAAATGAAGCCCTAAATAATTTACTGATCGACGAAGAAGATTACCAAGTAATTATTTTATCAATTATTTGTTATTTCATGATTGATTAATTTTATGATTATAGGGTCTACGAACGTCCATTGATGCATTYGATAATTTCGACACTATCGCACTTGCCCAAAAACTTGAAAAACATGAACTTACTGAGTTTAGACGCATAGCTGCTTACTTGTACAAAGGAAATAACAGATGGAAGCAGAGTGTTGAACTATGCAAGAAAGACAGATTATATAAAGTATGTGGTTACTATATATTTTGATGTTATTATTAAATCAATCTTGAACCAAATTTTTGAGTATTTTTTCTAACTTGAACTGAACATTTTTTATCGTGCTTGATAGTATGGTTCATAAATTTCTCATWCTAAGTTCGACTCATCACTTGTATTAAACCTTAACTTTATTATTACTTGTTAATTATTTATTAGGATGCAATGGAATATGCAGCAGAATCAAAAAATTCAGAAGTAGCTGAAGAATTGGTTACGTGGTTTTTAGAGCGTGGAAACTATGATTGTTTTGCTGCAGCTTTGTTTCAATGTTATGATCTTGTGCACCCAGACATTGTATTGGAACTTGCATGGAGGCATAAAATCATGGACTTTGCTATGCCTTACCTCATTCAAGTCACTAGAGAATATGTTGCCAAGGTAGACAAATTAGAAGAAGCTGAATCCAAGAGATTGGAAGAACACAAAGAAGAAGATATCAAACCAATGATGATACGTAAGTGTTGTTGAAATACATATTTATTAATGTTTAGTTTTGTTATTTTATTAATTTTATTTATGTAGCTGAACCACAACTAATGTTGACGGCTGGTCCATCAGTTATGGGCAACATGTACTCGCCGTCCTATCAAGGAACTGTGGCCCCTACACAGCAACCTTATGTACCCCCAAGTGGAACCCCATATGCAACTTCAAATACTTTACCCTATCAGGGCTATGGCATGTAATTGTACCTATTATATACCCTTTCCTTAATAGCAGTATTTTATAAGAAAACAATGATGGGCTTTGCTATATTCTGATAGAAAATTTACTACTCAGGTATAAAATATTTATATTTTATAAATAATCAATTTAAAAATCATTCCAAAAAAAAAAATCTAATTAAATAGGCTTTTGAAAAATATWTTCTCATCATTGTTAGATAATATTGAATAGTTAATGTTAATACTTGTTAAAAATATTACTTGTTTAAATTATTAAACCTCACTTCGTAACTTATGATTTATTTACGTATACATTTTTAATATTGATTTCACGTTAATTTTTATAATTTATTTTATTTATAATCGTATTATTATTATTATTATTATTATTATTATAAAACATTATTATTATACATTTTTTTGTAAATTATTATCTACAATTTATATAGAAATATAAAAACAAATTATAATGATAAATATCTTTGTCATTTTGTATGTATAACATAACACTATGGTATTGTTAAAGTATTGAAAAACTAAATGTAGGTACCTGTTAAACCCAGGAATATAAAATTCAAAAAGCATTTATGCTGTAAAATTTATTAATATGCAAAATAAATTATAGTGAAAGCATTTGTGACAGAAATTTGTGATGTTTCTGTTGAATTTGTGAAATATGATTAATTCTGTTGTTAATGGGTGTTAATTTCAACTTATGGCTATACCACTTTAACTCTACTTCATTGCTTTAAATTTAGATTAAAAATACTTGATATATAAAATAATAGCTAATAAATGATAATATATTTTTATTCACAGCTTGTGTAAAAACTTTAATATAGAATAAATTAAAAACCTATTGAGCTTAACTGGATATAACAATCACAATAAAACCATAGTGTCTATGGGTAAAATCAAATTTAATCACTTGAAATTATTCAATTTATAGTKAACTACCCTGTGATACGTAACGAGAAGGTGCTAAATCATATAAATAAATTAGAGACCCAAGAAAATGTTTAGATTTGTGTTAAATTTACTTCACGTGAATGGGGATTTTTAATTTTAGTTTTTTTTATTCATATGAAATTATTGTTTATTAAATGTTACGTTATGATGATTAACAAGTATAAAGAAAAAAGTTGAGGAAGATTAACAATAAAATGATCATATTTTCTCAGTAAAATTATGTAATTGTATACAAATTMAAATATAATTTGTATTTTGTACTTCATWATAAACTTAAACTTTCAATGAATAATATATGTATCAACATTTAATACAAATCTTACAATTAGTATAACTGAGTTTTCTTAAAGTATATTTCCTTTTCAGCTTCGTGTTTATTTAACTTAGGATCTAAAAAACGCATTTCACTTTCGGACAATTGAGGTAGGACCAGATCCAATTTTTTTCGTAATTTGCTAAACGCGTCCTTTTCTTTGGCTATTTTAGATTCTTCCTACAAATTTAATTAAGGTGTCTTAAATTATGCAGAAGTAGTTTTGAGTACAATACTCACTATGACAATATTTTCTTCTCGTTTCATAACGTCCAACAGTCGATTCTGAATATCTTTACCTTTTTTATCGAACTTATTTTGAATATCTTTTGCATTCTCCAAAGCCTTTAGACCTTCTTCTTGTTTTGAAAGTGCCATCTATTTTTAAAAGAATTCAGGCATATTAATGATATGTGTATCATGTTACGAACCGGGTATATTATTTTTAATTATGTTTAATGAGACATATTTAACGAGATTGAATTTTTCAAGACTTGTGAAATATTAGTTACAATAAATGCACATGTATTTTAACAAACTCAAAAAGTACAATTTATAATTAGGAGGCCGGCCATGGATGTAAACTCCAAGAGCATAATACATAATTGTCAAATATTCACCTTAAACATTTTTTCAGCACGAATTGATTTCATTTTAATTTGGTCGTCTAATTCTTGCAATCTGTTTTTTTCATCGGTTAAACGTTTTTCCAGTTCTTTTGTATGTTCTAATCGTTTGTCTAATTCTTTTTCTTTTCTTTTTAGCTCCTTAAAATTCTCTTTCACTTCCACTTTAGCTTGTATCAAATCAGTGCCTGTACCGGCGTCTAATTTCAGCATGGCTTCGAGTCTGTATCGTTCAGAAGCCACTTCAAAACGTTCTTCCGCTAACTTGCGCTGTTCTTCGATGACCGACGAACGAACATCCTGGAAAAATAGAAAAATAGAAACTATTACCAACATCGTGTGTCTTATAACTTACCTCCAACTCTTGTTTTCGTCCTTCGATATATTGTGTTTCTGATTTTTTTTCACGTTCCCATGTTTTACGACTTTCTTCAAACGCCTTCATTGATCGTTTTAGCTCTTTATTAAAGAGTTCCAATTCATTTCGTTCCCGTTGATTTCTCGATTGAAATTCTTCGATTTTCATTTGAAGAGCTGACCTTTCTCCTTCCAACATAGCCATCTGCTTGTCTACCTCTTCCTGTAAATCTATATCCATGACGTATGTAGAATGTAGATCGACACATTAATCAAAATGAGTTCATTATGTCGAATCTAGATGTTAACATAAGTAGAACTGCGTATGTTGTAAGTTAAAAGTTACTATTACTACATATCTTGCAGTATATTAAACTCAAATATTTAAGTATTTAAATAAATATAATAATGTGGAAAGAAAATGTAATTGGTATAATTGTAAGGTAAAATTTAAAATTCCTAGTAGTTTTCAAAAACGTCGGGAAAAYAATTAAGTAGGTAAAACGGGAATTTTAATGAAAAATGTATTTTTGTTTTAGGCGTAACTCTAAAAAAAAATCATTTTCACTGAATATTTATATTAGTATTTTTATACGTCATACATTTTTCAATATTTTGACTCATATTGAACTATTTACAGGAATACAATTTATGATTATTTTATTTTTCATAGACAATAGTTAATGTAGTTAGTCGATATAAAAATGTATGGTAGGTCACAAAACGAGAAAATGTAATAAAAAAAGTGAGTAAGTGGATGGGAGTAACCGAATTGGTTCCCGTTTGAAAAAGGTATTTTATTAAGTTGAGCCGAATTGGTTCCCGTTTGTGTACAGCTAATTTTTAATAATTGGTACAAAATATAAATTAGATAGTATAAAATATAAATGTACCTTCATGGCAATATTCTATAATCTATAGTATAATATACAATAAGATGGCAATATCTTTAATATTTATATATTGGCAGTTTAGCAAATTATCTGTGATACCCCGATCAATTAAGATAACAATTGAGATACAATATGTACTTTTATCGCTATATTATGGTATATCTTCTATATCCTATGTTCGAATGACAATAATGTTAGTGAGCAGTGAGTACTGTACAGTCTCGAATCGTATAAGCCTCGAACACATCGTATAAATTTGTAATTTGTATGTCATATTTTATTTTTTA